GCTTCCCTTTTCCTTTCCAGTCCATTCTACTCTTCCATTTCTATGCTGCCTCCATCCTGTCTGAATTGTCTCTTTGTCTTTAAGATAGTGTCTTAACTCTCTTCCATGCTTGGCTGAGGGCCAGCTCCACATAAGCACAGACCAAAACCAATTCTATCCAGCTTTTGCATCTCTTTGCACATGTTACTTTTTAGTCTGCTGAGAAACAAATTAAAAGCCCAGAACTTTCAAGAAGGAAGAGCTAGTAGTGAGACTGGACAGACTAGAGCCTTTAATTCATTTTTATGAGACTGTAAGTGTAGGTGTAGCATATTTGTGGAGACGCTTAATCAAACTTTTTTAAATGATAAATTTAGTATATTTTTTAACTTTTTTTAAAAATAGTTGATTTTGTCCACCATGGTTAGTTTATGGCTGTGTTGAGGAATAGCCTCCTATGATTACTGCATACTGTTTTTATTTTAAACATAAGGAAGCTTCCTAATAGTCACTTAATGAAACGACACCATTAAAAAGGAGAAACAAACCAACGTAGAAATATAATAGGAAAAAAAAATTTGCTTGATCACAAGCAGAGCTTTTTAGTAAAGTACAGTTTCTGGTAGGGATGTGAATAGTTAACGGGTTAACGTCACCCTTACTGGGTGTAGGGTTGCCACCTGATTTCAACAACAACACCGGACACACTTGACGTTATATCACAATCTACATTACATCTTATTTAAAAAATACCGGACATCTATATTTTCTCATCTTTTTCTTTCCCAAACAGAAAGCTCAAATTCTGGATTGTCTGGTTCAAAACTGGACACCTGGAAAACCCTAACCAGGTGATTTTTCCAGTTACTGTTGACCAGCGGCCTGACTGGGCTGGAGTAAGTGCCCAGCCTGGCCAGAGCAGCCCCCTCCATCTGTGGCATGGTACTTGAGCAGCTCCCTGTTTGCTGCACTGCAGGTGAGTGGGGGGTGTTCCTGTTTAAGAGGTTAAATATAATATTTAACCAATTAACTGATTAAACAGGATTTTACATCCCTAGCTTCTGCTTATTCTTGCTGGCACCTAAGTCCTGTGCTCAGAGACCAGTAGGACATTGTCTCTCTTTGTAGTGGACTTGGTAAGAAAGTTCTGAAATGGTAGCTATTTTAAAATATTTTAAAGCTGTGGCAAGAAGTAGTCTTCTGAAAGGCATTTAATCCTTCCTAAATATTATGCAAGGACAGAAAAAGTTCCATCATTAGTAACACTTTCCAGCTGGGTGCTTCAAACCACCTTTTAGTTGTTAAATAAATCTCAAAAGTCAAACCCCTTTGTAAAATAGAAATATTAGAACTGGAAGGAACCCTGAGAGGTGATTGGGACCAAGCATTGTTTAGAGTAGACCATCTTTGACAGGTGTTGGTCTAACCTGATCTTAAAAAAACTCCAGTAATGGGGAGTCCATCACCTCTCTTGACAATATTATTTGTGTTTAACCACCCTTATAGGTAGGAAGTTTTTTCCTAACATCCAACCTAAACCTCCTTGCTGCAATTTCATCCTGTTTCTTTTTGTCCTATCCTAAAGAGTTAGAGAATATTTGCCTGATCGTGTGAATGAACTAATGAGCATATCAATTGAAGGAATGGAAGTACTGGGCACACGAGAAGCCACCAAAGATGAACGCATTGCATTTGAGAAATTCATTAACAGACTTGTGCAAAATTATAACAAGAAACCAAGAAGGATGTAGACGTAGTGCTTCATAGCAGGCTTGAGTAGCCAACTATAATTTGTGTGATTTTAAAACATGAGTTAAATCTAATAAAATGGTCATGAAACATTTTTTTCAGTTTTTACTATGGTGCCATGCAGCCCACCTTCACCCTCATGGTCTCATCCCTCATCGGCCCTGACCCCCCCCCCATAAATTCGAACACACACCCCCGATTTCAATTCCTAGGGAGGCTACTGGCTGTATGTCCCCTCTGTGTTCTCTTTTCTAGACTAAACAAACCCAGTTTTCAATCTTCGCTCATAGGTCATGTTTTCTAGACTTTTAATCATTTGTGTTGCTCTTCTATGGACCTTCTCCAGTTTTTCCACATCTTTCCTGAAATGTGGCACCCACAGCTGAACACAGTTCTTCCACTGAGGCCTAATCAGTGCAGAAGAATTACTTCTCGTATCTTGCTTTCAACACTCCTTTTAATATATCCCGGAATTATGTTTGTTTTTTTGTTTTTGCGGTGCCACACTGACTTATATTTAGCTTGTGGTTCACTGACCCCTAGATCTTTCTGCAGCACTTCTTTCTAGACAGTCACTTCTCATTTTGTATGTATGAGAAACCATTTTGTTCCTTCTAAATGGAGTACTTTGCATTTGTCCTTATTGATTTAATCCTTTTTCTCAGGCCATTGTTTATCCAAATCATTTTGAATGATAGTCCTATCCACCAAAGCACTTGCATTTCCTCCCAGCTTGGTGGTAGCCACAAACTTTATAAGTGTGCTTTCTATGCCATTATCTAAAACTTTGAAGATATTGAACAGTACTGGACCCAGAACTGATCCCTATGGAATTCCAGTAACCTCCACTCACCTAATAGTAGCCCCATCTAGGGCCTATACTACTTTAATAATATTTCTGTGTTATAGATTGGGAAAATGAAACTAGACTTCAGTCCTCCCAACTCCCAGGCTGAAGCCACTAGATGACATTCCTGGGTGGAGGAAGGAGTGGACAGAAATATGTCTAACTTGCGAAACTTTGATCCTGTTGAACAACATTGCATTGGTTTTCTGGCCTCTGAAATGGAAGCCCAGACAGTAAGTCCTCCAATCTGCCATTTACAACAGTGGATCAGTCCCCCCTGTGCAGTTTAGTTACTTTATAGTTCAAAATGTTATTTACAGGATAGTATAATTTTGTAATACAGAAAGCTTTGGGATTCTTTCAGGATGTTTCGATGTCTGTTCAACCTTACATTGATTTTACTATGGACATTGGTAAAAATCATTCTCCATTTGTCGTTTGGATTTAAATTTTAAAGAGAACAAATCCCTCTGAAAAGCCTACTGCTGTGTTAGGCTTGACATAAATGGCAAGCTGTCTGTATTAATACATGGAGATTAAGTTTAGCTGATGGCAAGACCAGTTGGTTTTGGAACAAAAATGTTTATTAAAGTGCTTAATATGTTCTGGTCCCTGGAGAGATCTTCATTACTTATAATGAATCTTTCCCCTGCTCAAGAACATGGAGAGATTTAAGATTTTTGCCTTTACTTTGGACATATTCTAGAGAAGGGAAATGCCCAAGGACAAGCAATTTTTTTTAAAGAGTGCACATTCCTATTAAAAGGAGGAAAGATCAGTGTGTAGCTTTGCATCATGCCCACATTTGATTTAGTTAGTTATATTTGTTACTGTCACAAGCATGGTGATAGCTCTATCCTATGAATATTTTATTTATTTGTGATATGCACACAACTTTTGAAGAGAGATGAAGATCTTCATTTGGATTTACACTAATTTGATGTATTTGTTGTTCATGCCAATTTCTCTTTTTTTAAAGTAATAAATTAATCTCTCCACTAGGTGGCACCAAAGTTTTGGAACTTGAGGAGCTAGTACTGCAGCACAAATCCACCCATTCCCTTTCTTCAGTTGAACATCAAATTTCCTCTTTAGAGACTGCTTTTTCAGGTAAATACTCTCCTTACTAAAGACAGTTGTGCACCTGTGCAGTTCACTGTCTGAATTTCCTTTTTAATGCTCCTGGAAGCAGAATCTTTGTTTCCTCCAGATGAGAATGCAATTCACCATTAGCTGTTGTGGTGATGGCTATGATGTAATGGACATGATTAGGTTTCTTCCATGAAAGACATAAGCCACTGAATTTGAATCTTTAAGTAACCAAGTTTTTTTTTTTTCTAGTACAGTAATTTTAATTAAATAAATCAGGGGAAGAGAACATAGACCAAGTTTTCAAATCAAATGTTTTTCCAAGAGGCATTGGGGGCTCTTTAAAGGTGGTATATTTAATAAAGGCTGGATACGCAGGAGTAGGTTAAAAAAAAAAAACCCTACACATGAAGTCTCTTGCTCCCTACCCCTGCCTTGCAAGAAGCACACGGCTCTTCTAAAAACCCTACACATGAAGTCTCTTGCTCCGTACCCCTGCCCTGCAAGAAGCACACGGCACTAAGCGCCACACTCTCCTTGCAGGGAGGGAGGAAACTTTGCTCACTTCCCACTGCCCCCAGGCTCTGGGCCTCCACTGGCAGGGCCTCCACAGGCTGGATTAACATGCTTGGTGGGACGGATCCAGCCCACAGAGGCCCTTTTGCCCCTGTTCTATGGTGATACCCCTTTTAGCCAGGAGCTAAAAAAAAAAAAGAACATTTTGAAGGGTAACTATTCTGTATATTTACAGAGAAATCTTTCCTATGGTCATATGTGCCCTTGCTTTAATGATGTCCTTAACAGACCCTCTTTGCATCAAAGAACAAGGGTTTCAGCACATTATTGGAAAGTAGCCAGATTTAAAATATAGACAATTGAAAGGTAACTCAATGTTAATTTTTTTTTTAAAAAGTGTGTGGTGAAGAAAGCCAAAGTATTAAAGAGAAAATTCATCAGCACCGCACAATAGATCTGAGCTCCAAAACTCTTTCTTTAGATGTGCTGTCATTGTCCATTCATGACAGTTGGAGTTTGGCGCACATAAGGAAAGCAAACTAGACAACTGGAGGTGAACACTGCAGATTTAAGAAAAAAATTGTGTTCTTGGGAGTAGTTGCTTGCTCGTTTCTTCAAAGGGTCTAGTCTCTTTCATAGTTCTGGGTTGTTTCCTTTATTTCGAATTAGCCTCATGAGACCATTTCAGGTGTTGAACTAGGCTGGCTTGTATTTTGCTCTTCTATTAGCTTGCACTTTTTGGAATAGTCTGCCTGCTTCCTGCAATGCAAATTGGAGGGATATTCCTCTTCTGAAATGGCTGATGAACAAAACGGAAGCTACTGAGCAATCATTTGGAAACTGGCTATTTTTTTTTTTTAAAAGCCAGCTAATTAGAGCTTTGTGTAAGAGACAGCACTTTGTGCAAAACACCAAAAGGTAATCTCTCCAAATCCCACTGAGTACCTCTAAAGAGCTGTAATTAACCCCATAGTATTCACTTTATTCATTAAAATTTAAGTAAATGTTTTCTATCCTAAATAAACATTTGTAGCTGGGAAAACCTGACACCTGTATTTCCTAATAGCAGCAATAATATTCAGAGGCCAGATTAAATGAAGACCCTCGTTCCTGCTTCAGCACAATGGAGGTAAAATTAGCTCCTGAACAGCTGATTTAAGTCTATACCTGTCTCCATAGAGTGAAAGGAAGCATGAACCTCAAATGCATGCTTCCTATGTGTGTGCCAAGTGCTATAGTCACCACCCATTTCTGCTATTTAAAGGTGGTATATTTAATAAAGGCTGGATACGCAGGAGTAGGTTTAAAAAAAAACCCACTGATGGGAGGTCTACCTGTCCTCTTATGCAGTGATACACCACCGAGTTTGCTTGTCTGAGCCTCATGAAATTCTATGTCTGATTGAAGTTTGGGTCTCATGCAGAATGAGGAGCATACATATCACAGGAATGTCTGTGCACGGGGTATCACCATAGAACAGGGGCAAAAGGGCCTCTGGGCCGGATCCGTCCCACCAAGCATGTTGATCCAGCCTGTGGAGGCCCTGCCCACGGAGGCCCAGAGCCTGGGGGCAGTGGGAAGTGTGTAAAGTTTCCTCCCTTCCTGCAAGGAGAGTGTGGCGCTTAGAAGTGCCTCATGCTTCTTGCAGGGCAGGGATAGGGAGCAAGAGACTTCATGTGCTACTCAGTCCCTGATTGACCTGGGGGCAGTAGGAGGGAGCATGCAAAGTCTCCTTCTACCGACAGGAGCACGGGTACCTTGCGGGAACCACCAACTGTTCAGAACAGCTGGCGATTCTCTCGGGGCGGGGGGTGCAAAGCAAAGACTGTGTGCTCTGCCACCCCCAGACCAGACCAATCGAGATCTGAGGGTGGGGAAGCACGGAAGTGTCCTGGCCCTGCCCCTTCCTCCTGAGGCCCCTTCAAAAATTTTTGAAGTGGCCCCTAGTCAAAAATTATTGCCCACCACTGCCATAGAATGAGCGACACTGACGCGTATTCATCCTCACGACACCCTGAGAGGTTGGATAGTATTATCCCCATTTTACAGATTGGGCCCTGAGGCACAAGCAACTAAATGAGCAGGGAATTAAATCCAGGTCTCTTAAGTCTCAAGCCAGTGCCCCAGCTACTGGTCTACCTTTGCTCTCCATGAATTGCATGCTCCCTGAATATGCCAGTACAGGAAAAGCAGGAGCTACTGGTCTACCTTTGCTCTCCATGAACTGCATGCTCCCTGAATGTGCCAATACAGGAAAAGCAGTGAGTAATTGGAGTAATGACATGGGAACTCCAACAAATCAATTTCCCTCCCTCAAAGGGCAGAAAATGGATCCAAACAGAGACAAAGTTTCCCTCAACCTCACAGCGTTAATAGGGGACAGGGTAGGAAGTGGGGCAGGGAAAGACACGAGTGCAACATCCTGATCTTACATATGTGATGTTTGCTTCATTATGATGGTGCAATATGACAAAGTTGAGTCCTAATGACTCACAATCCTGTGTTGACACATCGTGTTTGTATACTATTGCTTGTTAGGATTTCAATGTAAATAAAAGACTTGGGACTAGAGGGCTGTACTATTTTTGTCATGTAAGTAGACTAGATGAAACTAAAATGTTCATGTAGTTGGGACAGATCCTTTAACTGCTGCTGTACGCCTGTGACTGTCTTCATTTGTACCTATCACATGGCATTATTTCCCTACTTAACTTTTTTTTTAAAGCTCAATTAAAATTTTTTTTACAGGAATGTAAAAACAAAATTCTTCTTCTAGACTCCAGCAGCCCACCTGACTTTTATAGAGAGAGAAAACAGTTCACTGCTAAGTTTTTGAACTTTACATCCAGAAATATAAATATCAGGTCTAAATAGCAAAGCGATTATCTTACATAAGTGTTAGTCATTTGTACTAACCTGTGATTAAAAATGCACATGTCTCAGCACTTGCTTGCCTCTTTTCTGAAGCTACATTTTCCATTTCCTAGGCTTTGACCTCAGGCAATGGATTTTTAAAGCAATCACATCTTGATAATTAATGTTAAGAATAAATGTTTCAACTTTGAGAGAGTGGTTTGTTTAATAAGTACCTAGCAATTTAATGTAACAAATTTGCAAACAATATAGGCTTTTACTAGAAGTTGCAGTTTTCACAGGCAATGTACTCTGAGCTCTCAGCTATAACACGTTTCATTTTCCACTGTTGAGTGTCTTCCTTACCAGCTGGATTGACAGGCAGTGATTGATCCAGAAGAGGTCAATTTATTGAGTCTAGGAAAGACACAATAAATCAACCGGTGATTGCTCTTAGTGTTGACTCTGGTACTCAACAAGAAGCATAAGGGGAATCGATGGGAGAGTGCCTCCCGTTGACATGCTGCAGTGAAGACACCAAGGTAAATGGATCTAAGTATGTCTGCTTCAATATGTTATTCATGTAGCTGAAGTTGCCTAATTTAGATTGATAGTCTGTGGTAGTATAGGGGGGGGGGGGAGGGGAGGTGTGTGTGTGGACATAAGGGTCTTTCTAACTTTGTTACTGCAGTTACCACCACTGCTAGCCTTTCAGTTGTCCATATCTTAGAAAGCTTAAGCCCTCACAGAAAGCATTATCTGGGAAAAAAAGCCATTATTTGTAGTAACCAGGGCTTGACAAATTATAGAAAACCCTACTCGCCAGACAAAAAAGGGACTCTCCTCCCCCCACCGCGTGACCCCCACCGTGCAGGTGCACGCCACCCGGAGAATGGGACAACCAGGACGTACGTTTGCTTCTGTGATGGGGCGAGGCCGCTCCGCAGTGGCGAGGATGACCCACCCCGCACTTCAACGGTGCTGACCCCCGTGCTGCACGCGGAGTGTGGCGTTCTGACAGCAGTCTGTGCCGCTTGCTCCCGTGCGGGGGGAAGGGGGGTAGGCAGAGTCCTGGGACGGGAGCCGGAAGCGGGGGCGGGGCCGCACGTGGGCTTAGGGTGGGGCCAGAGTGTGCGTGCGTCCCTGATGTCAAGGGGAGAGGCACCAGTGCAAGAGAGCACTGCATTCAAAAGAGCAGAGGAGGGAGGAGACGGAGGGAGAACAAAGAAGTGAGCTAGAAGATGGTGGTGGGCAGAGGAGTGACGGGTGAGAGCGGAGGTAGTCAGAAAAGGCAGGAGGGAGATGGGGAGTGGAGCAGAGTGTGGGGGCAGAGGACGTGAAAGGAGAAGCGGAGGTAGGAAGCAGTCCAGAGCTGAGACACTTAAGGAGCTCCATCCTGGGCTGCTTCTTACCTCCGCTTCTCCTTTCCCATCCTCTGCCCCATGCTCTGCTCTCTGCTCCCCCCCTCCGTCCCCCTCCCTTCCTCTCCCCTGTCGCCTCTCCCCTCTGCCGCTCTCCTTTTGAATGCGGCACTCTCTTGCTCCAGTACCTTTCCTCCTGACATCAGGGATGCACGCACACTCTGGCCCTGCCCCTGCTTCTGGCTCCTGTCCCAGGACTCTGTCCCCCTGCACGCCACTCAGCTGGGTGGCCGCATGGGAGCAAGCGGCGCAGACTGCTGTCAGAACGCCGCACTGCCCATGCAGCACGGGGGTCGGCACTGTTGAAGTGTGGGGCGGGGCTCCCTGGCCGCTGCAGGGCTGCTCCGCCTCGTCACTGCTCGCCAGCTGCCAAAATCTTCTCACCATGGGCGAGTGGGTGAGCGGATTTGTCAAGCCCTGGTAGTAACTGTAGCTGAAGAATTTGAAAGGGGTTTGGAAAAAAGGGAAAGATACATAAGGGGAAGAGAGAATAAAATCTCTTCTTTCTGCCCTTGACTGGTCTCCCTTCTATTTTTCCCCTAAAAGAGGCCCATCCTCTTCCTTCCAGAATTTTGTCCAGTTAGTCTTATTTATGTTTTAACCATTCTGGTTGAGTCATAAGTCACGAGATGTAACAGTTAACTCGAACTAAGGACTTAGAGTTAACATTTGATTACCGTGTGTAGCTGCGGGCAGTTAGTTCGGACTAGGGGGATTTAAAAATGGCACCCGGACGGGAAGATGCAAATAAAGCCCAGGATATTTACATCCCGGGCTTCATTTGCAACTTCGAATGCCTATATTAGCCTCCCTAGTTCAAACTAGGGGGCTAGTGTGGACATACCCTATGAGCCTGCCACTTCTCCTGTTTCCTGTGGCAGCAAGTCCCCACTGTGTTCCGTTGTTTGACCAGGGCCAAAAATCACTTTTGGTTTAAGGGTGAGCGTTGAGAATGCAGAATAGGAGTCCATGTAACTGTATCTGAAGGTTCGTTTTCTTAGAAGTCCCACACATTTGAGGAAGCCCTGTCCCGAGGAACGGCAAATACACCCCTCTTTCACCCCTCTCTCTCGTACACAGCAAGGTGCTTCTGTGAGCTTGTCAGGAGAGAAGGACATGATGCCATTGAGGTTCAGCCCTCTTCTACAAATTGGAGGATCTGATCCTGCTTTGGTTAAAATCAGTAGCAGAACTCAGGGACTGATCCTGCTGTCATTGATCACCATCTAACCCTGAATCCACTTTTTGCTGTTCTCTTACTCCCTAAAAAGCAACAGGAATTTGTGATTGAACCCAAAGCTGGCAGACTTACAGGGCAAACAAACAGATTCCTTTGGTTTTTTTCCTTTGGATTATTATTTTCTGCTCAGAATTAACCTCCTAAATGGTAAGAGCTAGGACGGGGGGAGCAATACATTTTGAAGGGAGGAGGGTGGGGCTTTACAAATTTCTAATGTGGCTGTGGACTGCCTTGGAAAGGGCAGGGCCTTGGACAGACAAGGTGGGGCCAGGAGAATTGGCAGGCTGGGTCTGGATCACAGTGAGCTAGGACCACCAGATGTGGTATGCAGCTTCATCTTATCCTAACTTAAAGCAAGGTGAGGGGTTTGGTTATGCCAGAAAATGGGATGTGCTTGGAATAGGATTGTTTTCCATAACACAGAAAGGGAGGGTACTGATAGAGGGAGTTGTGCTGCAGAGTACTCGCTGTCCCAGTGGTCATCGGGGGACAACTATACTGCAGTGTGTCCACTTGAGTGGCCACATCAGAGGAGTGGCCAGGGCTCTCTATATTGCTGGCCGCTGGCCACTGGCCTAGGTAAGTGGCCCTCCTACCCCAAACCCATTCCGCTGCAGTGCTGGACTGGGGTGAGGGAAGGTGTACAGCTATACACTGTGGGGAGGGAGGCTGTAAATCCTTCCCCCACCCCCCGGAGGAGCCCCACTGGCATTCAGGGTTGGGCTCCACAGCACTGCCCCGTTTCCCCCCCGAGGTGGGGGCAGGCACCACTGAACTACTCTACTACACCACTCGACTTTGAATCCTGCGCATATGCACACGCATGCTCTCTCTCTCTCTCACACACACACACACACACACACACACACACACACACACACACACACACACACACACACACACAGTCTGAGCCCTCTTTCACCCTCCCCCCTTTCCCACCTCCTACCTGGACTTTTGCATCCTCCCCCCAGTCCTGCCTTGAAAATCCCAACCCCTGCCCTGACTGTTGATGGGAGGAATGTCGGGTAACTCTAGAAGATTCATATTTCCGCTTCTTGCAATAAATGTGAAAATAGAACCTTGCGATAATGCTTGCTACCTTTTGAACTTAGAACTCCAAGAAAGTATACTGAGAAACTCCATCCAGCATTAATCATGCTCTTTGGTGAAACTAGACAAGTCCCTGCTTGCATTGACTTCTAATATTCATTATAATATTGCATTAGCTACTTCTGAGGTAGTAGTCCCTCCCAGATAATCAGTGGAGTAGTCCCTTCTGCTTTAATTTTTTCCTGTTCTTTTAACATTGTTATTTGCATAACATCAACAGTACACCCAGAGTTGATTCCACATTATTATTTCACCATTTTAACATCCGGCATATAACTAGATGGTGAAATGTCCTAATGTTTTACTTAAAAAGGATTAGGCTAAAACTTATTGAGGGTGTTAATACTGTACAACTTATTCTGTACATAGGCTGCTTCAGGTATTGAATGTAGCCTCACAAGTTAAACATCTAACAAACTCTGCAGCATTTTGCTGTATGTGTAGTGTTTCAGGGACCTAGACAAAGGAATATAATGTAGAAATAGATTATGATCCTATTTATTTATAACTTCTATTTTAAAGGTTAAAATATTGCAAGGGTTATTTGTAATAAAAGTCAGAGTTTGCTGTCAACCAATAGTTCATAGAAATTCTGCTGCCCAGAGAGAGGAAAGGGCTGACAGCTGGAGCCACCCTGCCCATTGGGGTAGTGTCTGACAGCTGGCACTCACCCGGCTTTGTGGGGCTGACAGCCCCGGCCTCACCACGCCAAGTTGAAGTTGAGGCAGTCACCAAATATCACAGAATCCCTGACCTCCATGACTGACTCATATCCTTAATCAGTCATGTAATGCAAATAGGTCCTGATGTTAATGCTACAGACATTAACAGATAGATTCCAGTTCTGAACAGTTCCCTAGCATATCCATGTTTAAAGCACCCATTTGTCAGTGCTTATAGGGTCCTTTTACACTAGTTTTCCTGACGGTGTGGGAAGATTTTTCGTAGGAGGAAAATCTGATGCAGACGTGGCAACTCCCCTGAATTTATTGTGGGAACTGATTTCTAAGTAAAATGAACCTTTTCGAATGATCTCATGATAGAACTCTCAAACATCAGGATTCACCCCCCACCCCCACCATGGCTTAATTTTACTTAGAACTCACAGTCCACCTCCCCCATCTCCTGCTTGTAGAGTTGACAGTGGGATCCCAACCATCCACAGGCTCCAGCTGTCAGCCCAGGAAATAGGAGGGGTGCCTACTGCAGGACGCCTAGGCCTGGGGAGATGAAGAACCCTAAGAGAAGAGTTCAGGAAGGCTGAATTATGGTCAGAGCTGCAGGGATGTGTGTGGGAACTAATGGAGGGGGGATTGTATTGATGGTGGATTCTGAGCAGATGGAAGGGTACTCCATTTTGAACAGACGGGTTGAGTTGATAGGGTAGGGAGGGATGAACTGATGAGGTGATTGGGGGGGGTTGGACTGAACTGAGGGGGTTAAGGTGGGAAGAGAACTAATGGGGGGGACTCGGTAGTAGGATTAATTGCTGGACAGGGTCAGATGTAAGTGTTAGGGCTCCTGCAGCAGGACCAAAATCACCTTATCCGGTATGTTTAGTGGGTAACACTAATTGTCACACATCCACAGCTGGGGATGGGCAGGGGGAGTTTTTTTTTAAAAAAAGAAACAAGCAAACCGAAACCCTGATTTAAAGCACAATGTTAACAAAAAAAATCTCATGACTTTTGATCTCTTGAAGCTGGCAATACTGAGTGATTCTCTGAATAAAACTATACCGGGGTGGGGAACTTACAGCTCATGGGTACTG